GGGAGCTCTGTGTCCCAGGGTGGCGAGAACAGCCATAGTGGTAAGTGACTTGCCGGGTGAACACACTGGCGTCAGTGAGGCAGAGGGGCAGGTGGATGTGCAACGTGGAATCTAAATACTGCACATGTGGTTTTCACTGCAAACCCTCCACTTGGCTGTATGTTTGAAATTTCCCACAATGAAAGTGGGAAAAAGATAAGAATTCTTGTTATCTGAATGTTTTAAATTACCAATCTAAATAACTTAAGAGTCAAGGAAATAAACATAATGAAAGTTTAAAAATATTTACAATTGAATGATAATAAATTGCTACATGACAAATCATGCAGAATTCCAAGAAAATAGTACATAAAGTGAAATTCACTGCTTAAATGCTAATGTGAAAAAAATAAATGCTAGAAATAAATGAATAGGCTGAAATTTTAAGTGAGAAAAAGGACCACAATAAAAGAAAGAAAATTGGAAGTAGATAAAAGAAGAATCTAATAATGCAGAAAATATAAAAGGTTTTTCTTTGATTTTTGAAGTATCATAAGTCTATAGCAAGATCAAGAAAAAGAAGCTGCTGATCGATTACCTGGAGACACCAGTTCAGATCCAACAAGGAGAGGACTCCACAGCTTCAAGCTGGAAAATTTAAACTTATGTCAAATGAACACTTTCCAGAGACGTATAGCTCACCAAACAACTCAGGAAGAAATAGCAAGCCTCAACAGTCCTCGGCCCATGAAGGGAACCGACAAGTCCATCTAAAATCTCCTCCAGAAATAGACAAATGGTCTTACAGGTGAAACCACTGCATGCTCATAGAGTCCCTCCCACCAGGAAGAAGAGAGGCAAAGCCTCCCAGCACATTCCATGAGGCCACTGAAGCCTCCACCCAAAGCAGGACAAGGGGGCAGCAGCACAGCCGCTGCAGCTCCTTCACAGGGTGACCCAGACTGTCCAGAGCCCCAGGGCCCAGGAGGGAGGCACTGAGAGGACCAGGCAGCCTGGCCAGGCGCCTCCTCACAAGGGCAGTCGTGCCCCGTAACGCAGCGGGGCTCTGGAGAGACCACCGCGCCCAGGCAGCAGCAGGCGGGTGCAAGGAAGTGGGGAGGCTTCCCAGATGCCAGAGGAGAGCAGCGAACCGGAGGCCCCGCTGCCAGACAGGCCAGGATCTGGAGAATAAGCAGAAAGAAACAAAAGTGGGGTGAGGCAGGACAGCCCCTGGAGCCACCTGGGGTCCTGTCAAGAGCACCCGCAAGCCAGCAGGACTGACCTCTTGCTCCCTTACTAATTCCCTTCAGAGGACCTGGGACCTGAGCCAAGATTCAGGAAGCAAAGGTACCCGTCAGGAAGACCCGAGCTCGCCCGCATGTGCCCAGAGCTCCCAGGACGACTGCGGCTGGCCAGGGGACTCCTCCCCAACAACAGGTGCCCCTGCTGGGGGGCGGCCTGAACGCGGGAAGGGGCAGGGGCACCGGGGTATACCCAAGGCCTCTGGGCCGCCTGTCCGAACAGGGAGGCTATGACACCCCGTGGTTCAGGGGTGCAGCCAGCAGGCTCTTATCTCCCCAAAGTCCCTGCACCCCCAGAGTTCAGGCCACAGCAGGGAGGACAGGATCCCCAGAAGGAAAGCCTGCCCTGGGGCTGCCTGGCCCTGCTGACCTCTCCAACATCCCACAGCGTCCCCCCTGAATCGCCCCCCACCAGCATCTGGTCCCATCTCAACAATGAAGGCTTTGTCTAGATGTCACAAGAGGATGAAGACCAGGGCCACCGGCCTCTCTGGCCCCTGTCCCTCTTAATGTCTAGCCTTAGTATCACTGCCCATGCTCTCCAGTGTGTTCATTCTCTGTCTCTACCCCAACCAGACCGCGAGCTGCTCCATGAACTCACGTCCCCACCCTGCTAATACCACCAGGCTTCCTGTCACCTGAGACCATGCTTGATTTCCCATCCAGCAGCTCCAGGATGTCCACTCGCTGGAGCAGAACATACTTGGGCAGTGAGAAACCCAGTCTCTAAAACACAAAGCTATTTCTCATGTGACCCCACAGTGTAAGCCAGGTGCCAGATCTCTAGGTAAATTCCCACAAACTTCCCACTCTCCTGAAGAAAGGAGCTGGGCCCCTCCTGCTCCAGAGGGGGCTTCTGATCCTTCCAGAGGTGAAAGGGACTCAGCAGAGCAGGGGAGGGCAGCACAGAGGGAGGCCTGCAGCTAGCATCCGGCCTCAGCCAGTGGGGAAACAAGGAGCTGAGGGCCAGACCCTCTTCTGCTGTGGGACTCTTGAAGCTTTTGCTGAGCTGATCAGCACAGATACCACATTGTCCTCCCAAGTCCTGCCCAGTGCCCACACTCCATGAAGGTCATCAGTATGAATGATCCCATGGACAGCTGGAGAGCCACCACACACCAAGTCACCCAGAGTAGACTGTGGGGCAACAGCACCCTATTTTCACAGTGTTCTTGCCCAACATGCAGGTCTGCTCCCCACCTGGACCTACCAGGAGGGCCCACTCCAAACCAGGATACCAGGATGGTCCACTTTCCATCAGGACACCAGGAGGGTCCACTCCCTACTAGAACACCATGTGGGTCCATTCCACATCAGGACACCAGGAGGGTCCACTTCCGCCAAGATACTGGGAGGATCCACCCTACATCAGCCCTGCTGTAGGGTCCACCTCTCCATCAGGACACCAGGAAGGTAAATTCTACTACATGGGAGTACCACAAGGATCCATTCTCCACCAGAACCTTGTCAGGGACGATTCTCATCAGACCACAGACAGATTCACTCTTAAGAAACAGATTCCAGGTGGCCAAAAAGCAGGTGCCAGAAGGCGTGTTTCCCAGAGATGTGTGGCCACAGAGGTTTAGTCCTGTAGTGAATGCTCACAGAGGACTCCATGGTGGTTGGTGCACAGGGTGGACGTGGTTTGGGATGGAGGTGAGCAAGAAGCAATGGACGTTACCCAACTCATAAGTTCATCCCCAGAGAAACCCTGTCTAAGAGAAGAATGATAGAAAAGAAAGGCTGTATTCAGTGGCCAGAGAATGAAGATGGAGTTCTGCTCACAAAACTGGAGGGTGGAGGGGTAGGCTAACATCATGCCTTCTTAGGGAATAGGTAGAAATCTTCCAGGAACTTAGATGCCACCTCCTGTCATTCCCTTTAAGGTACAGCATATCACTTCATGGTGTCTTTAGCCTTAACTGGGGGAGTGGGAGGTGAGGCAAGCCTGGGTCAAGTTAACCCCATATTATAGTTTCACAAAATGTCTCTCAAGAGTTTAAAGGTCTACATGTGGTGCTGATTATACTCTGATCCAAAGGTGAAGGCAGCAAAGGACATGGACACAATTTGGGAAAGAGAGGCTAAGCCCCCACACCCAATCCAACCACCATGGGACATGAACAGGCCCAAGAATCGGTGCTTTCAACAAAATCTGCCTATGGGACCCCAGACAGTATCCTGGGCAAGGAGTTTCATAATCACATTAGAGGAGTAATCTACAGCAAAGGGATGGTAGACTAATGATAAATAAGAGGCCCATGTGACCTCAATATGGAAATGCTTAGGGCATTGGGGGGACCAAGTTCGACTACAGGATTATTTAGGTTTTTCCTGGGTACCATGATTGTTTATTGAGCAATACAAGTCACATTTTGGACGAAGAGAAAGTGTTCCTGTATGGGAGTGTCCAGGGCAGGTCTGGACATGGACCACATGGTCCTGGATGGGAGTGACCAGAGCAGATCTGGACATGGAGCACGTGGCCTTGATGAGAGTGGCCAGTGCAGGCTGGACATGGAGCATGTGGTCCTGGATGGGAGTGACCATGACTGATCTGGACATGGAGCACGTGGCCTCAATGGGAGTGGTTGGGGTAGGTCTGGACATGGAGCATGTGGTCCTGGATAGGAGTGACCAGGACTGATCTGGACATGGAGCACGTGGCCTCAATGGGAGTGGTTGGGGTAGGTCTGGACATGGAGCACGTGGTCCTGGATGGGAGTGACCAGGACTGATCTGGACATGGAGCACGTGGCCTCAATGGGAGTGGTTGGGGTAGGTCTGGACATGGAGCATGTGGTCCTGGATGGGAGTGACCAGGACTGATCTGGACATGGAGCACGTGGCCTCAATGGGAGTGGTTGGGGTAGGTCTGGACATGGAGCACGTGGTCTTGGATGGGAGTGCTCAAGGGGGTCAGGAAAGCTGTTCTCACATATGTATTGATCACATGACCAAGTGTCCAGCACGTGCTGGGATCCAGACCAGCACACTTGTGAAAGGTGGGCCTGAGGTGCATTAGCTTCCCGCTGAGGGAGGATGTCCCTGCCTGTAGATCAGAGGGTGTCACCATGGCACCTTCCTCGGGGAACTTCACCCAACATTTCAGGACAGCTGCTAGAACCACCATGGGCTAGAAACATGCCAGGCCTGGCCCACACAGGAGGACAAAGGTCAAGGAGAGGCAGAGAAGTGGGCCCAGGACACACCTTGGCCATTATGGGACCTGATAAATGTCCTGGAGGGACTAGTGGGGTATGAGTGAGGTCAAAGGGACTTGAACGACATCTGTTTTAACAATGAGGGCAAGAAAGACCCGCCTGCCAGGTTCATCTCATGCTCTGCACACACAGCTCAGAGTCCCAGAGGGTCCTCTCATGGTCATCATGGGCTGGGCCAGGGGCTACCCCTTTCTTCATTCCCAGCTTGAGCTCCAGGAACCAGGCTACAAGGAGCCTCACCTGGGATCAGGAGAGGGACGTACACTGTGGTCCTCAGGGACTTCTCAGAGCCCCCATGCTCAGCTCCTGGTCCCCATGGCAGAGGAAGCCATAGAGAGAGAGACAAGGTTGGGAGCAGCAGGTGGGGCACTCTGGGACGTGTGCTAACATAAAGACACAGCCCCACCAGCCACCCGCAGCCTCCCTTTCAGCCTTCAGGGATTTGGTGTAGAAGGCACAAAGGGCACAGCTCCAACAGGAAACAAAGACAGGTAGGACTTTACTGAGCACCATCCTGCCCACTGCAAGATTCCAGTCTAAGCATCAGCCTTGAGGGACAGGGCACTTTCCAATGCCTCGTGCCTAAGATGGCAGTGAGGACCCAGAGACACAGAGCAGCACTCAGGATCTTTAAATGTAAGCGCTGGCCAGAGCAGAGCCCTGCACGTGGGAGCAGTACAGTAAGAAGAGTGCCACGGACCCCAGGGCGCAAAGATGCACACCTGTGGGGCTCAGCAAGGCCCCAGACTCCTCCCCCTCATCATGGTGGCCCTCCTCAGGCTCTGCCGCATCATCATAATCTTCCTCCTGCATGGGCCCCCTGGATTCTGGGGACACTTCATCCTTCTCCCTCACAGGGACAGCTTCGATGTCCTCATAGACGCCCTCTGAGGCCTGGTTCCCCGACAGTCCAGAACCTGCAAAGGCAACAACCTTACAGAATGAACGCTCCTGTAGATGGAGCCTCCCACCACCACCCCCCAGGCACCTGGACCTCTCAGGCATGCTGAGACCCCGGCTCCTCTCCATCTGCCCCTGCACAGCAATGGCCTTCAGTCACACCCTGCCGTGCACTGATCAAAGGGACCTGGGGAAAGGGATGAGTCCCAGGCTCTGAACACACTATGACAGGCCCCAGCTACAAGGACAAGGATGAGGGATGGATGGGGGACACTTTGGTGCCCAGGGAAAGAGGATTTTCTTCATAGATCTATTCTCAAAACATAGTGAGACCTGGGTACCCACAGCTCGTGTGTGGTTCCACAGAAACTCACCCAACAGTGGCTGCTAGGAAGACACCTGCAGTATGTAGGAGGGTGGCCAGAACAGAGGGGGTGTGCCAATGCTGGCGTCTCCCAGAGCTTCCCCCAGCCTCTGCTCCCAGGACCTTGCTCACCATGCCCAGTCATCCACCTACCCATGCAGGCAGCACTGCTGTGGCACCACTGGACACCTAGCACCAGGAAGACGAGGCCCAGGACAAAGCCAAGGACCAGGCAGGCGATTTCAGGCAAGGTCCAGCCCTCAGCAACAGGTGGAGGGGCCAGGGAAAGGGCTGTGGGCAGTGAGAGGCGGGGCCTCCTGAGTGCCTGGCTACCTGGGGCATTGTGACCCTGGACCTGGATGACTTCAGCCTCTCAGAAGGGGCAGTGTGCATGGGGGAGGGGTCTCATTGCCATCTGGACAAGCAGCTGCTCCCCAGAGATGGCCAGAGGTCCCATGGTGGAGGAGCTCAGGGTGAAGGCCTAGGATTCAAGGCTCACAGATGGGACTGCCAAGTGCCAAGGCCCCAGCAGTGGGCTTAAAACAAACGTTCCTGTGAAAGGGCCGAGACGGAAGGCTCAGCCAGGAAAATCCAGGGGAAAATGCCCAGGTGTGAAGGCCCAGGATCAGGGCCCAGGACTCATGACCCACCCATGCACACGGGGAAAAGCTCCTATGGGCCTTTCTGCCCCTGCCTCTGCTCTGCTGTAGACCTAGAGCCACTGTGTCCTCAAGGCCACAGCAAGCAAGGGCCCGGGCCTGGGCTTTGGTCCCCTCACAGGCTCCCCACCCACCCAGGCACAAGGAAGGACGGCTGCTTTCATCAGGGAGGGGCCTGGACCACCTGAACAGGGTGTGACCAGGCACCTGCTCCTAGAGCTCCCCGGGACAGTCAGAGCTGAGCCCCACCCACTGCAGGCCCTCTAGGTGCACAAGGACTGGGAGCTGGGGGGTGGGCAGGATGCCACCTACCAGATGCAGTGGTCCCAGGGACACCTGCAGGAGACATACCAGCCTGAGCACCAGGATGGGGAGGCAGAGATGCTCTAAGCAGCACAGACCTGTCAGGGCCCAGGGGCTCACCTGGCCACCCTCTGCTACAGCATCATAAGACCCAGGGGGCAGCCTGTGCCGGGAGCACCCAACTGAACCCTGTGGGGAGTGGCTGAGAAAAAGAGGTGGACACAGGAACACGCCCTCCAGGCACCCTCTCCCCCTGGGTTTCTTGCACACTCACCTGAGCAGTGCACACCTGCGTCCTCCTTGTGCTCACAGTCTCCGCGTCCCCACGGCTCAACCGGGCAGCCCCACAGGGACGCCTCACTGCCACGACACCCCACCTCATCCAGCCACACGGGCCCCGAGCCAGGGCCGAAGGCAGCGCCCCGCACGGCGTCCACTGCCTGGCCACAGCCCAGCTGGCGGCACACAACCTCTGCTTCTGCCAGGTCCCAGGAGTCATCACACACGGTGCCCCAGGAGCCCCTGTGCCAGAGCTCCACGCGCCCAGAGCATCCGTCCTTGCCGCCACGCACGCACACTGCACCCTCCTCTGGAAGGGGCAGAGGTTACCTCTGGGCCACACTAGGCATGAGCAGGCTCATGTACGTAAGGGACAGAGGCATACCTGGGCAACTGAGCACGGATGAGCAGTTGAGCATCTCTCCTGAAGCCTGTGCCATTGTTGGTGAAAATCCTGTATAGAAGCAACCAGCACCTATAAGCTTATGAGTGGGCAGGCAGCTTCAGAGCACATGGACAGATCCACAAGGCTCCAGGTCAGAGCTGCAGTTCACTTCAGCCCTATCTGTGACTTTCAGAACAGTCTTTTTCAGGACACCCAGAAGAGCCATGCCCACCTGCACAGGTAATCCAGGCCTCTTCTCCCAGGACACAGGAGCATGGGTCCCAGGGAGCAGAAGGACAGTGCCACAGAGTGGAGCTCGGTAGCCTGCGGCACTCAATGTCGTCTACCCAGGCGGTGCTGGAACCTGCCCCTTGGAATGGCTTGTTCTCCAGCCAGCCCTGATCCCCGCACCCCAGCTGTTTGCAGATGATAGTCAAGGAGATGTCTTTGAGGGCATTGCTGCACACAGAACCCCATGTCCCATTGTAGAGCACGTCCAGCCAGCCAGCACAGCCACCAGGACCTCCTCGAAGCCTCAGAGCCATAGATTCTACAGGACACAAGCACACCCCGTAAGAAGGAAGGTGTGCTGCGTAAAAGTGCAGGGCACTGGGCACCACACAGGAGGAAGACACCGGACAAGCTCAGGATGGAACAGACACTCAGGTACAAGACCCAAACAGCACCCTCCTGGAGGAAGACAGCACAGCCAGGACCGTGGTCTGAGCAACAGGGCCACACACAGGCAGATGGAATGGCACCATATTAAGAAGCCTCAAACCACACAGGAAAGAGGGAAGCGACGACTGCCAGTGTGCCACCAGACTCTTGCAGGGGAGGGGATGGAAGGTGGTCCTGGCTGCCAGGTGCAGCTGGACGGGAGGGCTGGTTCCCAATGTTCCATGGCAGGCAGGATGACCATGGCTGATACACTTAACTGAATACTTCAAAGTGGACAGTAGAGAAGACTGGAATCTTCCCAAGACCAAGAGGTGGGCCACGTTGAGGTGACAGTTCTGCCAGTCCCTTGGCATGGTCAGGACACACTATACACTGTGCACTGCAATGTCATACTGCACCCATTGAATATGCACTTACTGTGTGTCAGTTAAAAATAACATTTTTTAAAAAAAATTGGTTAATGACATGAAAAAAATAAGTCAGAACCATGATTTAGTCCAGAGCTTCATGCTCTAAATAGGCATCAATCCTGATGGATCCAAGCCCAGATATGTCCCCCTGGCTGATGTGTGGCAGGGTTGTTGATACAGCCCCAGAGTGGAGCATAGAGACCCTTTAAATTACACCTCATGGGCTGGGGTTGTGGCTCAGAGATAGAGTGCTTCCCTAACATGTGTGAGACATTATATTCAATCCTCAGCACTACGTAAAAATAAAATAAAGGTGCATGTCCATCTACAACTAATTTTAAAAAAATTACACCTCAAGTGGCAATTATAACATTCATATAACCATGACAGGATAACTAGAGAAAATTTGATATATCTTGCCTCCAACAATCATAACTAATTAAAAAAATCTGACTAATTAAGATAACTTAGGAGCAGCACTGCAGGGACGCTGCTGGGACTTTGGCCGCTGAGTGAGATCAGCACTTTCTTCCTCTCTCTGGAGCCTGCTGGGTCATGACAGAACAGAGGCTGCCCTCCATCTGCACAAAGCAATGCCAGAGAGTGGGAGGAGCTCCATGCATGCCCACCCGTGCTGCTGTCCACCTGAGGGTGACTGGTCACCATGACACTGGTTGTCTCTGTGAATAATGACAAACTGTGACCCAAGAGTGACCCACCAAGAGGGCAGCAACATAGAGAAGCAGAATTCCAAACAGGGTAACCTTAGGCTTCCTACATGTTCAACTGCCCCATGAAGACACTAAAAGACAAGGCACCCACCTGAGCAGAAGACCGCAGCGTCCTCCTTGTGCCCACAGTCATGCCGTCCCCAGCCCCCAGACGGGCACTGCCACAGAGCAGACTCATGGCCCACACAGGCCAGTTCGTCCATCTAGATGGGGCCAGCCCCAACCCCAAAGTGGGCGGACCCCAGCGCACTCAGGGCGTGGCCACAGCCCAGCTGCCTGCAGACCACAGGCGCGTCCTGTAGGTGCCAGGCATCAGACCGTCGCAGCGACCCAGCCCAGCGGCCAGCCGTACCCGGAGGCTCCCTGCGGAGAGACTGAGTCAGGAGCGCCTGCACTCTGGGGGCCAGGGAGCTGGGGGAACAACTGTTCCCACACTCACCAGAGCACACGACGCCAACGTCCCGTGAAACCCCTGCGGGCACCAGCTGGGACGTGGACACGTTGCATTGGGTCAGGTGGGTCTCGGAGCCCACGCAGCGCACACGGCTCAACCATACCCGGACCACACCACGGCCAGGGGTGGGCGCGTCGTAGGCTCGCTCTGCCCCTCCGCACCCCAGCTGCCGGCACACCACGCTGGCGGCCAGCAGGTCCCAGGCGTTGTCCAGGACACGGCCCCACATGCCGTCCAGGGCCATCACAACGGCTCTGACAGTCCCTCAGACGTAAGGCGTCTCGGAGACCTGGCAGGGAGCAAGAGGGTTCCCATGGTCACAGGAAAGCCCATCCCCCACAAAGCCCTGCCCACTCTCAGCTCAGTTGGAGTCCATACTCTGTGCTTTTCCAACCTCCTGCTGACCTTCTGCTTACTCTTCCACAATCCTACCTCATACCCACCTGAACAGAGGGCAGAGGCTGAATTTCCTGGGGCACAGGCCTGGGCCCCCAGCGTGCTCACTGGGCAATTCCACAAATAAAGCTCTGTCCCCACATAGTGAAACACATCTGGCCACAGGGGAGCTCCTCCTTCCCCAAAGTGGCCTCCTGGAGGTGTGGCCACAGCGTTGCCACAGTTCAGCTGGTGGCAGAGGACGGTTGTATCTGCTAAGTCCCAGTGCCAGGCGCAGAGGGGCACCCAGGACCCCTGCACCTGGAGCTCCACGTGGCCCCCACAGCTGCTGCTGCCATTGACCGGCCGGAACTCTGGGGAGAGATGAAGTCCTGTGGCCTCAGATTCACACACCCTAAAAGCAGCTCTACTCGGCCATTTCTTTCTTTTGCACCCAGTATGCTGCACACAGAATGGACCCTGGATCCCTGTGTCCGCCCCCACCTACCAGAGCATCAGCCTCCAGGTCCTACAACTCTGCAGAGGAGCCCCCTGTCTGCAGTGTAGCCCTTGAGTCACATCTCTCAATGGCTAGAATCCTTCCCCTTCCTTTCCTGCCCTCCTTTCAACCAGCAGAACCAAGCGGTCCCTGAGCACAGTACACTCCTGCCCAGGACCCTTAGGGGCTCGTCTTAGAGTCACAGGTGGGGCCCATGGAGGAATGTTGGCAAGGAAAGAGCTGGGCTGGACTTCTGCAGTCCGCCCCAGGCCTCACCTGAGCACCTGAGCCCCAGGTCCTGGTCATGCGTGCACTGGTGCCCGGGCTCGCTCTGGCAGTGGAACAGCAGGGACTCATTGCCCAGGCAGTGGGAGGCCTCTGTCCACACTGGCCCTGAGCCTTGGCCAAAGAGGGTGCCGTGGACGACGGAGATGACCAACCCACACTGCAGCTCCCGGCACACCACGTGGGCTGTGGGCAGATCCAGGTCCGTGAGGCAGACAGTGCCCCAGGTCAGGCCCCGCCCAACCTCCAGGCGCCCAGCACAGGGATGCTCACCGCCCACCAGCCGGGCCTCTGTGTGTCCGGGGGGAATCAACATCCTCTCAGGTGGAGATGGGTATTGTCCAATGAACAGCCCTGAGCTAACACCTTCAACCACACCCACAGGAGGCTCACACCAGGGATGTCATCTGGGTCAGTCATCTGCCAGACGCAGGCAAGAACTGGCAGACGGAGGCCCATCCACCCTATACCTAAGGCCAGAGGGCAGGGTCACCTGCTCTGGCACTCACATCTGTCACAGCCTCTGCCTGTCAGGGTGATGGTATCAAGTCCATCTACAATCTCACAGGCAAGGTCAAGGTCCCCTCAGGCCATAAACACTGCCTTTTGTGGGCACCATGGCAGGTAGTCTGTGCCCCTCATACTCAACCAGGAGCTGTGAGCAGTGCAGCTCACATACACCTGAGACAGGGCTGGGAGGAACTGACTTGCTATCCACCAAATGCCTTTTAGCCTGTAGCTATCTCAGCTGAAACTGGTCAGCCCTGCACCTTCAGCAAAGACTCCTGGCCTGGGTATGCTGAGTTGGCATCTCGCTGGGTCGCCAGAAACTAGCTCCACTCTTGTGGACCACAGCACACAGACCTCAGCACACCTGTGGCCTGCTGGGTTCCCACCTGTCAGCCTATACTAAAGAGCTTCCAGGGCCCTTTATCTCTAGGTCCCTGCCAAAGGCAACTCTGAGCTAGAGATTATAATTATTATTATTATTATTACCCTGCTTCCCTAAAGCTGTGTTTTCACAGTCCTCTCTGTTTTCCCTCGACTTTCCCAGCCCACTCATTGTCCCTTCTGAGAGCCAGTTGCCCACATGTCGATAGAGAGGACCAGCCATGAACACACAGGCCTTTCCCTCCCACTACACCCACAATGGTCTGCACCCAATGCCTCAGGCAGGATGGATCCCTGGCACCCCTGCACCCCCACAGTGCCCGGGCCTGGTATCACCTGAGGGTCCCATGGCATTACAACTCACCTGAGCAGACCACCTCTGCATCCAGCTGGAGGTCACAGCCACTGCGCAGGTTGTTGTTGAGTCTGCAGTTGCGGATGGTGGGCTCTGTGCCCCTGCAAACCATGTACTTCCTGACGATGTCCACACCTTGGCAGGGGGCCTGGAGCGCAGGGCCACACCCCAGCTCCTGGCAGAATACTGTGGCCTCCTCCATGTGCAAGCCACAGAGGCGGTCCACCCCATTCACATTCCTGATCTCAGGGAGTCCTGCACAGGGACTGTGACCCTTCACCAGGCGGATCTCCCAGAAAGTGCCATCTGTGAAGCACAGGCCCACGTTACAGAAGATTCAGACTCCGCTAGGCACACCGACCCTTGAAGACTGCATACGCCCTGGTAACAGATATTTCCAGATGCACTGCCTTTGACCATGGCAGTGCCTACCAGGCACTCTCTTGGGTCTGAGAGGCAGGAATTACAGTGCAAACCTACCTACCCCTTCTCCAGGGAGTCCAGAGAGGGCCGGATTTCAGGGTCCAGAGACCTGGTATCACACAAGTTCAGCCCCGTTCAATGCTCTGGGTCACCCCCTTGAAGTACTCAGCATGCTTTAAGAAGGCCTTCATGGTGGCTTCACATGAATCCCCAAGACCCTGTAGGGCCTTTTCAACGGACCCTTACTCTAGTGACCTGATGCAATGAGGGTCCTCACAAGCTCCAGGCCACACAAAGCACCCAGACACGGCTGAACCATGTCAAGCCAGACATCCAAGAGAAAGCATGGCCTCTCAGCCATCCATGTAGGAACCATGAGTGCATGCCTGTGTGCCTCTGGGGCCCTCCTAGAGGACCCCAGCCTGTGGCTGCCACCCTAAAAACTACCCTGCTTCCCTAAAGCTGTGGCACTGGCAGCCTAAGCTCAGTGGAGCAGGACCCTTGTCCAGTCCATGCACAGCTGGGCACTAGCACGTAGCATCTGAGTATTTGAAAGAATATCAAAGGATCCCAACACATAAGGGACTAACCAGGGAGAAGAGGTGGCAGCAACTTGCAGTCAGGGTGTTCCAGGCCCCAACCAGGAGTCCCTGCCAGAGCCCCAAACCCACCCTTCCTCTCCTCCAGGTCTATCCCTTCCCCATCCCTTCCCAGGTCCTCCCTAGCCTCATACTGTTTCCTCCACACCCACCCCCACACCCCTCCACACCTCCTCCCAGCCTCCCCCTCCCCCTGCCCCTACTCACTTGCACAGAGTACAACCACCACCCACTCATGGGGGCATGCGCTCTGACTCCGTGCGCCCAGGCTGCACTCCCAGAGGGAGGACTCATGACCCCGACAGGACACGTTGTGCAGCCAGGGCGGAGCCACCTCTCCTGGTAGCGGGACATACTTGGGAGCACCAACTGCACAGCCACAGCCAAGCTGCCTGCAGACCACAGAGGCCTCCACCAGTGTGCACTTCTGGTTGCACAAGTGTCCCCACTCCCCATCACGTCGGACCTGCACCACTCCATCTCATGCACTCCGTCTGTGTGCCAGCCCCAGGTCACCAGGACTACCTTGGGACAGACAGGACTGGTTAGAGGGCAGAATGCCCCCTGGGTCTGGTGGGGAGAGGAACCAGCCTGAATCCACCTGGGGCTGCTTCCAAGGATTCGCTCCGCAAATTAGCAGCCCCAAAGCAATTCTGGAAAAATGACAGCAGGGATCACATGGAGACCAGCCCACTACCCCCACATCTCCCCCAATTCTTCTCCCTGCTCCCCTCCTAGCCTGGAGAACCGACATCAGTGATGCCCCTCAAAGTAAGGAAGTTCCCTTGTCCTTGGAGGCCAGGAGCTGGGCTGGATCTTCACCCACCCCTGCTCCCAGATGTCGTGGCTCCACTTCCACTGGAGACACTGCAGTCTCTGAAACCCCACCACTCTTCCAGTCTTGGCAGCCTGCCCCCCAGAAGCCCTAGACCCACCTTCAGGGCCCCTGGTGGACCCTGCACCCTCAGAAGAGAGAAGGTCCCATATGGTAGTGGGCTCAGAGAGAGGGAGATGCCCCAAGGGAAACTGTGTCTCCTGCAGGGTCCTCCACCATCACTGCCCTGCAGCCCTCCACTCAGAGCCTCCTCATCACTTCCTGCCCAGATCATGGAAGGAGCAAACTCTGGTCTGCCATCTTGAACACCAATACAAAGCCCTCAACTGTGACCCCAGGCACAGCAACACACCACTGACCTCTGCAGGTGTCAGTACCCTGCCCTTTCTGCCACTGACCCCTGCTGCCAACAGGTCCCAACTCCACTGCCGCTACTTGGCTTCTGTGCAGCATCGGGTGACCTCCCTCCTGGGCCTTGGAGCAGCCCAGCCAACGCATTATTTCTCCTTCAGCTTCAAGGGCCGTGAAAGCTGCAGACCCCTGTAGATGCCCACCATGCCTTCACATGTGCACACTCTTGCACACTCAGCCTGGGCTCACTGTCACCTCCAGCCTCACATGCTGTCCCTTCGGCAGGTCTCCTCTGAAGCTTCTTGCTCTTGGATCCAGCAGCCCCTCACACACACACTACCCTGCCTGGAAGTTCCTGGGACTCCATGTTGCCTTCATTGCCCTGTGGGCCCCAGCCCTAACCCAGGGGACAGCAGTCCCCCCAGGTCTCATCAGCACTAGGTGTCCATCTGGGCCCCTGGAACCAGGCACCAACCCAGACCCGTGCCTGAGCTCCAAGCTTATCCTGCAATTGGACCCTCTCAGGGGTCAGGCCCTTTGCAGCCCATATCCCTCCTGCCCAGGACGTCCCATCAGCCTTGGGGCTAGGGAGAGCCAGGAAGACAGATGGAGACAGCAGGGAATGCTCGTGTCCCAGGGCCTGGGCACCCACAGAGCCACTGTCTCCAGAAAGTCCTGTGGATGAGGAAGGAGAAACTTACCAAGGGGGCTGCCCTGAGAGTGAGAAGAAAGGGCCCCAGCCCCCAGGTCCAGAGAGCCGCCCTCATAATTCCTCGTGGCTCCAGCCAGCTCTCACCACTCAGCTGGGGCAATGGCGGAGGTTGTGGCCAAAGTTGCGTATATAGATGTGGGAGCCACCAGTGGCCTGGGCTAATGGGGACAGCAAGGGCCTTTCCAGAGCAAGTTGGCAGCTGTCTCCCCCTGTGAGCAGAGCAACCAGTGGCCTCGCTGGTCCCATGTGCCACCAGACGTAAGCAAGGGGCCCCTGCTGGGGCTTTCCTCCCTTGCCGACAACTGCTGAGGGGGAGCCTAAGCCAGACCCCATGATTGACAGGTGGCCAATCTGCCCACACCCAGCAGCAACAAGCCCATGTTTCTGCACACCACAACCAGGCTCTTCCCTTCAGCCCCAGCAATAGCACAAACAGTAAGACCATGCCCAGACAGCCGAGGACATTGCCTTTGCCCCCATGGATGGTTCCCTAGGGACTGGGCAGAGTCTCAGCAGCACTAGAAGGGTGAGAAAGACCAGGGCACTTTGGGAGGTTTTGGAGACTAAGCTGCCATGGAAACAAAAGCCCATGGAGAAGGTAGCATCACACGCCAGCCGGATGCTTGCCTGCTCAAAGAATAGATGTGAGAGGATGCAGAGTCTCCTGAGCGAAGAACAGAACCCCCAGGGACAACTGAGATCACTCACCCCATCAAGAACTGAGAAAGCTGAAATCTAAGGTGTAAAAGACCATCAGCTGATGCCAATACCAAGCGGGACTAGATGTCAGAACTACCTGAGAGGGTTTGAAAACTGTCAGAAAAATGCTCCCACATTAAGTTGCAAATTGCAGGTTTGTTTCAAATGAAACAAATGGGACAAAAGCAGAAATCTTAGCAAAGAAATAAAAGCTATAATAATGAGGCATGGTGAGGAGATGGAGCTAGCAGAACTCTCATCGTTTGCAGGTGGAATTGGAGACTAGTGCACAACATAAGGTGCCCTGTGACCCAGCAATTCCACCCTTAGGTGTGTGTCTAAGAGAAATGGAACTTTAAGTCCGCACAAACACCTGTACAGGAATCTTCACAGCAGCATTGTACATGACCAACAAAAAGACAGTCCAGTATGCAGAAGCTCATGAGTGGTGAGCAAGGTGTGGTGTGTCCACTCCACAAATGTCATTTCCACGAGCAGAATGAGCATTGATCCAGGCTGCAGTGTGTATGGCCCTTGAAAGCACATGTCAAGTTAAAGCACCCAGACACGGAGGGACCACTCCCATTCACATGAGGAGTCCAGAACAGGAGCCACAGACACAGGCCAGGGCAGGAGGATGTGGCAAAGGGTCCCTTCTAAGAGGATGAAGTGTCCTGAAAGGACATCATATCCCTTCTTTCAGCATGAAAAACCACATGTATAGAGCAGACTCTAAGCCATAAAATAAGTCTTGGGAAACTTAAAAGAATAGAAATTACATGAAATATGCTCTCTGATTCTATTATAATTGAACTTAAAATCAACACCATATTTATCTAGGTAGTTCCCAAATATTTGAAAATTAAACCACACATTTCAAAATATTCCATGGGACAAAATAAAGCCTGAAGGGAAATCAGAAAACCTTTTGAACAAAATAAAAATGAAAATACAGCATATGGAGATTTGTAAGATGCAACTAAACTGGAATTAGTGGGAAACTAGTAGCATTAAATTCTTCTACTCAAAAAGAAGGAAGCTCTAAAATCAATAATCTAGGTTTTCCCTTAGGGAACTGGAGAAAAGAACAAGCAGAAGAAAATAAACATAAGAGCAGAAATCAACAAAATAGAAATTATAGAAAGGAGAAAATCGATGATCCTGATAGTGGGTTCTTTGAGATCAACCAACTGGATATACAGTTTAGCCAGAATGTTGGACGAAAGAAGAGAGAAGACACAAATTACCAACATCAAGAATTAAGGATCAGGAACCACTGAAGACTCTGGATGCTTACAAGATAATAAGGAAAACATGGACACAGCTGTCTGCCCATAAATCTGTAAGTGGAGAGGAAACTGACCAAGTCCTTGAAAGACAGCTGACCAAAGTCCCTGACAAAGACACGAAGTACCTGAATATGCTGTGTCTACTAGGGAACTTGAATCCCTAGTTTGAAACCTTCCAAACTGGGGAAGGAGTTGTGGCTCAGTGGTAGAGTGCTTGCCTAGCATGTTTGAGCCACTGGGTTTTATCCTCAGCACCACATAAAAATAAATAAACAAAATAAAGTTATTGTGTCGAGCTACAACTAAAAATATTTTTTTAAAAAAACTTCCAAACTGAAAATTCATGGCCCAGAACATCTTACTGAGGAATTCCACCAAATAATTAACAGTATTTTAATGATTTTAAGAATATACAGAGTATTCTAGAAAAAGGAACTAATTCAGCAATTCTCAGCATGCTCTGATACTAAAACAAGCAAAAATATTGCAAGAAACATTCCAGACCAATATTATCTCCTGCACAAAGACGTAAACATCTTGACAAAATATTAACCAAATTTAGCAACACATGAAAAATGCAGGCATGATGAAAATGTTCTAAAACTAGATTGAGGTGGCAGATTTACAACTCAAAAAAACTTGTTTTTAAAGCCATTCACTGGGTGTTTTTTATGCTGTATAACTTACAGAGCAGTAAGTCTGCTAAGTAAATAAATGACAGTACAACCAAGTTAAATCTATCCCAGGAATGAGAAGCTGCACAACACAGAAAATTAATTGATGTAGTGTGTCACATGACTGAAAAAGCAGCAGCAGATGATCATCTCCAGGGTGTTGGAAACGCACTTGATAAATGGGTCTTCCATTGAAGATAAAAGCTGTCGGTGCCCTGGATACAGAAGGGAATAGCTACCTTCAAGGGACTAAACATCTCAGCCAAGATCACCCTTAATGAGATTGAGTGCTTCTCCCACAAACTAAGGAACACAGGAAGAGTACCCTCCTTGCTCTTCTCAACATTTTAATGGAAGTCTTAGTGCATAGGCAGGAAAAAAAAAGAAGAAAGATTATAGATTGAAAAGGAAGGAATAAAACATTTTATTCCCAGGTCAAATAATCATCTAGGTGGAAAATATCAAGAAATCTACAGAAAAGACCTTGAAATTAATAACTAAATTTATCAAGGTCAGAATACAAAAATAAAAACACAAAAAGAAATTGGACTTCTGTATACTAGCAGTGAATAATTGGAATTTAGCAATTTCTTTAAGTATCATTCACAATATTAGTTAAAAATTTACTAGTGAGGGATAGATCTAACAACACAAGTGCAGGATTGCATACTGAGAACCACAGATCATTGGTGAAATCAATCAAGGAATGTCTACATAAGTGAGAAGACACCATGCTGAAAGACGGGAAGATGATGTCTTCTCCCCAAGTGATGGGGTAATCCAGTCAGGATTCCAGAAGATCCTCTGTAGACACTGACATGCTGATTGTAGCATTTTTAAGGAGATAGAAATGTCACTTGTCCTGATTTTATTACTGCATACTGCATACAAGCATTGAGCTACACACCATCACAAAGCACATAAGCAACTATGAACAGAGCAGAAAAGTCTAAATGTTTAAGAGAGTGACATATTGACAACCTTGATCTTATCATCACATGAGTGTGCAGGCATTGAAGTATGACACAATTAAAAATTACGTCAGATGGCAAAGAAGATAGAATATTCAAAATTAATTGAAATAAGCATAGTTCAAGTGGTATCTTATTGTGGTTTTGATTTGCATTCCCCTGACAATTAATGATATTGAGCTTTTTTAATATGTAACTTTTGGTCATTCGTGTTTCTTCTTTAGAGAAGCATCTATTCAGATCTTTTACCAATTGCTAATAGAGTTATTTGTTTTCTTGATATTGAGATGCTTGAGTTTCTTCTCAGTTCTAGACATTAACCCCTTATTAAATATATAGTTTACAAATAATGTTTTGAATTCTGAATATTGTCTCTTTGCACTGTTGATAGCTTACTATTGGCAGACCAAGTCAATTGGTATACTCGCATTTGTCTGTCTGGGATCTGGTTGCCTTTTCCTTTGAGGTCATAGCCAAAAATCATTGTCCAAAACAAGGCCAGGAAGTATTTCCCCTCTGTTTGCTTCAGGAGTTTCAGAATTTGGGATCTTACATTTATTCATTCATCTGCAGGTGGATATCCAGTTTTCCCAAGATCATTTATTGAAAGGAAATAATAAATGTGGCCTTGGCACCTCCATCAAAGATAACTTAGCTGCAAATATGTGGCTTTATCGCTGGTCTGTTCTCCAGGATGTGTCGGTTTTCTTGCCCATACCAGGATGTTCTGTTACTGTTGCGTTGTAGTGTATTTTGAAGGCAGGTGGTGTGGCGCCTCCAGCTTTGTTCCTTTTGCTCATGATTGCTTTGGCAATCTATAGCCTCTTATGGTTCCATGTTGGAATCTCTTTTCTGTTTGTGTGAAGAATACCATTAGTATTTTAATAGAGATTCACTGAATCTGTAGATCACTTGGGGTCATGTAGATATTTTAATGATATTAATTCTTCCAATCCATGAACATGGGATGTCTTTTGTCTAACCCTGCTCCTGCTGTTGTATTTACAGTGTGTCCCCTGTTAGTGGACATGGCTGGGTCTACACTTCTCGGTCTGCCACACAGCTGTGCGTTCAGCGCAGGACTGCTCTTTGCTCCTCTCTTCCTTACTCCCATTGGGTTAACCATGTATTTTTTTCAGCTACCACTGCTTGTCTTTCCTTATTACAGGCATTCCTAACTTACCTCAATATGCTGGGAATTCATGCAACAGCATTTATGATGCCCCTCCTACTTATGTCCTCCTCATATTAATCAGTCCAACAATTTTTAATAGCAGATGTTATTTTTAAAGTTTTAAGATTTCTGCTTGGTTCTTTTCTAGATTCTTTTCTAGAATTCCCATGCCCTCCCTCTCCTGGCCCACTGTGTTCATCTTTTCTTGTCATTACTTAGTGCACCTGCTAAGCGCATGTTCCCACCCTGAGTAATGTCATCTCGGGCATTCAGCTCTGGAAGTTTGCTGTAGTTCTTTCTTTGTCTTCTATGTCCCCACTTAATGTTTCCAATTAAGAAGGTGTTCAACAGCATGAGGTGGCATGAGGTCAACATACAGAATCAGTCCTACTTCTAACACAGGAGCAAAGACAGTCACAAGTTAAAAT